CCGTGTGGATCTCATGGAATAAAGCCCGCCCTAGACTGACGAGGGCCATTAGCCCGAAACCATGGTCTCTAGGTGGACACTTTTCAGTTTACCAAAGCTGGTGTTGTGGCTTTGTCACCGACCCGAGGCCGCTAGTTTGCGGCGACGGTCAATAGATGGCGTCTATTTTGACGGGAAAGGCGACCTTCGTCTCTTTAGATAAATTTTAATTAAAAGGCATATATTGAATCAAAAAATCATTTATTTTACCAATATTTCAGTTGGCTGAACGCCAACCTTTATCAAGGTATTATAACATATTAATGTGTGTCAACAACAAACTCAGCGCCAACTGCGCAAACTCAGTCAACTGAAATATTGGTAAAATAAATGCTTCTTTGATCCAATATATCTTTTTAATTAAATATTTATTTATGGATTGATCTATTTTAAAAATAATAGATAATGTTTTCCAAAAGAGACATTTATCCCTTTAATAGTTCATCAGAACGATAGCACTGTTGTGATTGGCTTTTTATCTGAAATTTCCAAGACAGGTCTTATAGCTCATTATTACTCACTAGTCTTCTTCTTCTTTCTTATATCCACTCAATCATATTAGAATATCAAGTAGTGACCCTTGATGGTGTCTGTTTGACAACCATCATGACAAGGTGAAGTAGAATGCGTCTGCCTTTGTCATTAAGACTGGGAGCACTACTCAGTTGCAGGCCGACTTAGCTCCAAAAGAAATGGCCTCCTCTGGCATAAGGAACAGACACCAGGTGCAGCCTCTCCTAACATGGAGTACAAACACTGCTCATCCTGTATCCCTGGATTAGGAGCCCTTACAGGGTACTATCAGCCGGGCCAGCTGAGCCCAGGTTTTTAGCGAGCTTGTTACTGCTCCCCCTCCTCCTTTTTCATCCAGGCTTGGGACCGGCAAAGGCGGAGTTGGGAGTTGTTTTTACTTGGGTGATGTACAGTGACATCGTTCTGATGAACTATTAAAGGAATAAATGCCGCTTTTGGTACATGAATATCATCCTTCCGAAACTTTATGTTGTAATAAATAATATGTTTGATAATTATTTTTGACATTTATTAAGAGAACGTATAAATATCCTTTAGTAATTTAGAAGTATAGAAATCATTTCCACATTATATTGTAGCAAATGTATTGTTTTATTATTTATTATTTTATTAACTGAGTATCATTTTTTATGTTTATATTTTGCTATTCTGTTAACTTCCCTCATTGCATATCTTTTGTTCATCATTCATAGTTAGTTCTTACCTTAAATACATTGTCGTGTCATCCCGAAGTTTGTCTTCTCTAATTTTCCCCATGTGGTAATATATATAACAATACCATCACATGTCAGAATTATTCCGCAAAATTATAGCATTTAATAAAATTAATCACAATATTTTGTATATGTATTCACACAGAGATCTATAAATATTCGCTTTCTTTCTCTCTTTGAAATTTAGGACAAATATTTACTCGAAAAAATATAATAGCAATCACACATTTATATATAAATAAACATATATTTTAAAATTTACGTCTGTTATTTAATTATATCGTCTGCTTGTGATAAACATTTTGGCGGGAAAAATGGCGGCAGAGTCAACGACCTTAATAAAAAAAGGAGACGATCCGAGTTGTAATCAGAGAAGTCCCCCCATCTATTTGTATCATAAATAAGAAGAAAGATGGACGTCTCCCTGAATTCATTTGAATTCATTGGCTCTTCTTTCCGAATCATTAGCCACGCCCCCACTACTGATGAATAATAGAAAGCTAATTGTAAGCCCAATGATCCTTTCATTCTCCTACTGATGTTATTAGGTCATCAATAAATGGCTCTTTCTTTCTCTCTCTCTCTCTCTCTGCTTTTTCATTAATGGATAACGATATTTTTACTCTCTTCTGTTTGTTTGCTTCCTATATTTCTAGGTTTACTTTACTTTTAATGATTAAATTTAAAATGAAAATATTGTAGCAAATATGTTGACTTTGCTTAGAATTATTAATGAAACTGATTCCAATAATTATTAATTAAACATTATATTTATTGATTTACAAGAGAGAGAACAAAATATAAAAGGGAAACTAATATTAAACAAAGGAACTTTTTTTCTGTTTTGGTTAGCGCCTATTTACCTGTGAGCTTACACCCACTCTGTGGTAACAATTAATTAATATATGTACAACAAGGTATTTATTATTTTACAAGAATTTATTATTTTACACTAGTATTAACATAGTATCATTTTTTAATGTTTATATTTTACTACTCTGTAAACTTCCCTCATTCCTTATCTTTTGTTTATCCTTCATAGTTTGTTCTTGACTTAAATAAATTGCTGTCTCATCCTGAAGTTTGTCTTCCCTAATTTTCCACGCGGCAATATAAATATACTTTTATATGTAAATATTAATAATAACTTATAAAATACAATATAATGCAGCTTATAATTGTAGAACGAAATTTGACAATTATACCTAAAATGATTCTTTTGAATGAAAAATCGTTTTTTTTTAAGGAGAAATAATGTGTCCAGAGTAGTCTAGTGGACATGACATCTGCCCGCTAAGCAGAACACTGTCGGTTCGATTCCCATTCCTGAACACTTAATTTTTACGTTTATCATTACTCTTCACAATTAATCCTTTCATACTTCATCCCTAAGTTTAGAAATAATCGTTATTTCTCCTTAAAATAAATTTCGATTTTTCGTTCAAAAGAAACATTTGCTGTATATTTGTCAAATTTCGTTCTACAATTAATAATAACTTTATAAAAATGATTATTATTAATTAAAATAAATTGATTTAAATGTAGTGTGATCTAAACCATTGGTTTTCGACCACTACGACCCGGGTTCGATTCCCGCATTGGAAACCTTTTTTTCTGTTTAAAAAAATGCTCCAATGGCCCCCGATTCTTGCAAAAATTCAACCCCACCAACGAGTGCAAGTAACCAAACGGGGCTCTGGCACATTTGTAAGTGCAAAGTCGAACTGCTTTTCACATGTGTAGACATGTGGTGCACTTACAATAAAAGCAGTCGCTAACTATCCACCATGATTATCATAGCTTTGAGATAAGAAAGAAGAAGACTTTATAACACGAATAAAATGATAAAGGATAAGTTTCTTTATTGGTAATAACCGTTTCGAGCTTTCGGGCGCAAGCAGCCCTTCTACAGGATTAAAAGAAGAAGACTTTACTTTTAATGATAAAATACTAAATGAAAATGTTAATATATTTATATGAAAATCTTTATAATAGCAACAATGTTATAATAGAAAGATTAATATTAATAAAAATAGTTTGATAGGTTATATCAATGTTTCTTAATCTTTTTCTTCCTTCTTGAATACTTACACTGATGGAAGTGGAGAGTGTAATATAACCGGTCGTCTGTTTTTTTGAAGGAGACAGAGGCTATTCTGTTCACACTTGATAATTTCATGTGTCTTTAATAAAGGTCACTGTAATATCTTTCAGAGTTATTGTCTGAATCCCGATATATATTTTAAAAGGTATAACCTTCTTAAGTTTTGTCCATGAGTGTATAATAATGTTAAATATAACTATAATCAATGAGATATTTTTACTCTGCCTTTGCCGGTCCCAAGCCCGGATGAAAAAGGAGGAGGGGGAGCAGTAACAAGCTCACTAAAAAACCTGGGTTCAGCTGGCCCGGCTAATAATACCCTGTAAGGGCTCCTAATCCAGGGATACAGGATGAGCAGCGTTTGTACTCCATGTTAGGAGTGGCTGCACATGGCGTCTGTTCCTCATGTCAGAGGAGGCCATTTCTTTTGGAGCCAAGTTGACCTGCAACTGAGTAGTGTTCCTAGTCTTAATGACAAAGGCAGACGCATTCTACTTCACCCAGTATGGAGATAAGAAAGAAGAAGTAGAAGATATTTTTAAGTTATGTTTCACAGGAGGGGCTCTTGAACATAATGTGGCATCATCTCACAATGCATTCGGTTCAACGACTACTGGAGAAAATATCGCAGAAGTCGAATCACAACACCATATATAAGATATGTTTATAAAGGGACAGAAAACAGGTAGTGCAGAATAATTTCCGTCGAATATAGAATTTTAATTGGCCACGCCAAAATTCCTGCAATCAGCAAGAAAAAACCAGATAAGTTAAACTGAATATTAAGATACACATTAACACTAATTTTAAATAAAAGACACTTTGGCCAGAAAAGGTTTTATTTCATCGACGTTTCAACAACAATATTTTGCCCTCGTTTGGAAAAATAAAACATTTGGCAAGACGTTAAAAATGAATCAGGGGCCGAAGTGTCTCTTATGTAAGAACTATAAATACTGGCCAGATGTCTATCTTCAAAATATAAAAACTTATTTATAATTCGGGTTATTACTGTACATATTATTAATCAAATTCAATATCTATATCCTAACTTCTCTTGATAAATATATATTTATCCTTCTTTATCAAACAATAAATATAATTACAAACTTATCCTTTTGAAAATAGAGCAATCCATAAATAAATCTTTAATTAAAAAGGAATATATTGGATTAAAATATCATTTATTTTACCAATATTTCAGTTGGCTGAACGCCAACCTTTATCAAGGTATTATAACATATTAATGTGTGAAAAAATAGTACAAATGTGATATTGTACTGGGATAAGGTGCATAATTAAGAAAATATGCCTCTTTTCTTAATTTTAATGTGTGTCAACAACAAACTCAGCATCACATTATTTGTTGTTGACCCACATTAATATGTTATAATACCTTGATAAAGGTTGGCGTTAAGCCAACTGAAATATTGGTAAAATAAATGATATTTTGATCCAATATATGCCTTTTTAATTAAAAAACTTATCTTTGTTAATTTCAGACATTCTAAATGAAATGCTCCACTAATCTGTGAAAAGGTTCCTTTCTGTGTTGGGTGGGCGGGTAAAATGTCATTATGATTATATTTTCTATAATTACAATTCCAAGTAATTTAATTAAAATACAATTTGTATTGTAGATTAGACACACAAAGTTTTATGACCAAATCTAAATTGATAAATTCCAAATATTAATTTGGATTTAGTCTTATTACATTGTGTTTCTAATCTATATAAATCCTGCCCAGAAATCCTCAGTTCTAAATAAGCGTATACGATGGTTTTGTGGCTATAGTGAAAGAATATCTCAATATTTATTAAAGATGACATAATGGAAAGCAAAAGAGCGAATAAAATATTCTTTTCATTACGAAAAAGTTAAGAAACACGAGCTTTCAAACATCTGTTTATCTATAGATGCCCAGAAGTCTTCCTCTACGTGGTGGGCGGAAGAAGCAGCACAAGTAAGGGACTGTCCTGTAGTACGGTGTCGTGAGCTCCGAGCCGCTACGGTAACCGTGAACAGGGAACTCTGAAATGTGGATGACTAACAGGGGCAATGGCACCTCTCCTTTCCATGGAGTGGACAAGACACCACCACCAGTCTATATAAAACAAATTGGACTTTATCATTTACTTGTAATTGTAATTATAGAAAATTTAACCATAATTACATCTTGCTCAACACTGTTATCTTTTTTCGATTATATAAATTAAGATGGCAAGAATTTTCGAGTATTGATAACTCTTCTTTACAAACCTTATTTAAAAAATAGGTCGGTAGAAGAATTCTCAAAACTCGACAGATTTCAATCTTGATTTATATAATATAATAAAATAACTTTATTGAGATGATTGGTTAGGAATATTTCATATTAAATATAGTTCTGAAAATAGATCAATCCATACATAAATCATTAGATAGTAAAAAGACATATATATTGGATTGAATGAAATATTTATTTGCCAATATTTCGGTTGGCTGAACGCCACCCTTTATCAAGGCATTACATTTTTGTAAGCACAAACTCAGCGCCGCATAGTGTTATAATATTACAGTTGAATGACATTATTTCAACTGTGATATTATAACACTATGCGGCGCTGAGTTGGTGTATACAAAAATGTAATGCCTCGATAGAGGGTGGCGTTCAGTCAACCGAAATATTGGCAAATAAATATTTTATTATATCCAATATATGACTTTTTACTATCAAATGATTTAAGTATGGATTGCTCTATTTTCAGAACTACATTTAATATGAAATATTCCAAACCATTCTTCAATAAAGTTTTTTTATTAGATCATAGGAATCAAGATTGAAAGCTTTTTCGCGTTCTGAGAACTCTTCTACCGGCCTATTTATTGAATAGGTTCGTAAAGAAGAGTTATCAATACTCGAAAAATCTTGGCATCTCAATTTATATAATCGAATGAAGATAACAGTGATGAGCAATATGTAAATATGGTTAAATCTTCTATAATTTCAATTACACAAGTAAATTATAAAGTACAATTTGTTTTATATAACTTGTATATAACTTGATTCAATATATGCCTTTTTACTATCTAATTAAATAGAGTGTATAACACCATATCGATCGATTTCGGTAGCGAATCTTTTATACTGAGATACTTAACTTCTGAAGAGACCACTTCCCAACATACACTGGATGATGAACTAAGTCATCCAAATATTTCTTTATCACAGTAAAGGCAGTAGAAGTTTGCTTTATGTGTAAAAGAATGTGTATGTGTATTTATTATATTAAATGATAATTAATATGTTAATAATTGAATTTTGAGTAGCCTAACAAAGACTCAACAATAGGCTTGTAAGGATGTTTTCACCATTTCTATATTGACTTTATACATTAGCTTGTTATATAGCTATGGTGGAAACATAAATGTCATTGTGATTTAGTAAGAGGCCATTAGAAATGTCCAACTACTTAATGGCTTATATTGTGTTTCTCTGGGAAATATTCCATATTTATTTTCTACTTTATGTCTGAATATCATTTTAGCCATTGTGGATGGACATTGCTCTTACAAAGTTCATCTTAATATAGCAATTTTTATGAGAATTTGAAACTATTTTAGACGCGTATGATTCTTTTAAAAATTAAACAATTATCTACTGCCCTTACTGTAATGGTAAATTAATTCGAGGACTCTCCCTAACAACTGCGACATGGGATAATAAATGCAACTGCTGTGAAAAAGATGCATGGAGATATCTGAGGCTCTTCATTGGACACGGCAACAACAACAATACAATATACACACCCAAGATAGAAAACATTGCGACTGCTCTAATAGAGATGTATTGAGACATCTGAGGCTCTTCATTGGACACGACAACAACAACAATACAGTATGCACACCCAAGATAGAGGACATTGTGACTGCTGTGATAGAGATGTATTGAGACATCTGAGGCTCTTCATTGGACACGACAACAACAATAATACAGTATACACACCCAAGATAGTGGACATTGAGACTGCTGTGATAGAGATGTATGGAGACATCTGAGGCTCTTCATTGGACACGACAACAACAACAATGCAGTATACACACCCAAGATAGTGGACATTGAGACTGCTGTGATAGAGATGTAATGGAGATATCTAAGGCTCTTCATTGGACACCAACAACAACAATACAGTATACACACCCAAGATAGAGGAAATTGAGACTGCTGTGATAGAGATGTATGGAGACA